ATGATAAATAATGTGATTTTCACTAAACACGTCATTAGTAACATCAACAACAAAGTATTAACTCCACTGCCATTTGAAAAACTTTTCTGAAGAACCTACTCCTGTACTTAGCATATGAAAAGTTCTTAACAAATGTTAACTGAATGAATGAACATTGAACTGGAAACCATACGAAGACATGCAACAAAGTCTAGACAAGTTTCAAACACTTTTGTCTCTATTCTTCTAAGGATTTCCTAGGAAAGACGATTTACGTGGCTTTTTGTATGTTGTTGTTTTGCCTTTGTGAGTTTTTTAGTACGTTGGGAGCGATATCATTTTCCTGTGACTGCTAGCATCATTCCGAAAACCTTTCTGTTCTATTATTAACTCATTAGAAAATATTATGATCTTCCAAGGCTCTGCTCGATTGTCCCAAAAATTCAGGTCAGTTTGGTGGAACAAATGACTGTCAGTAGCTTGGGCAGCAAACTAGACCCAAGCCCTGAAAACATCATGGTTCTGAGTAAGATCAGATTCCATAGGTTTCCCTTCATCTCCAACCCCCCCTAAACTAACAGACTTATTTCTACTTTCTCCCTGCTTGCTTTGTTTTCTGCTTCCAGCCATCATGGCTACAATCTCCAAGTTCTTCATGAAATGTCAACACTCATTAAGTCATCACCTACTCTAAGACCAGGCACCATGGTGAAATCATACCAGAAGAAACACTGAATAACTGATCCTGACCCTGAGCCCTTGCCTCTCTCTGCCGTTTTATAAGGGATATATGACAAACTTTCAACTGGTTCTCAGTTTTCTTGTTTGCTGAGAGGGGTGAGAAGGGGATCTTTAAAAATCATGAGTTTTGAAGTCAGAAACATGTGGCTTCATACTTTCCCTTTCCCATTTAAAGTAATAACCTTGGACAAATTACTCAACTTGTTTCTAAATCTCAGTTTTTTTTGTTTTTTTTTTTGTTTGTTTGTTTTTTTGTTTTTGTTTTTTTGACAGGCAGAGTTAGACAGTGAAAGAGAAACAGAGAGAAAGGTCTTCCTTTTCTGTTGGTTCACCCCCTAAATGGCCGCCACGGCCAGAGAGCTGCGGCCGGCGCTGCGCCAATCCGAAGCCAGGAGCCAGATGCTTCCTGCCACAGCAGAGAGCTGGACTGGAAGAGGAGCAACCAGGACAGGATCTGGTGCCCCAACTGGGACAGCTTCTGGAGTTACGAAATGGAGAAAATAACAGGAGAGGCTAGTCTGATAAGGGTAAGACATCGCTAATATACTTAGCAAAAACAGAAAGCTCATTCTATGCTGTTTTTCTCTTTCCTCTTCTCATTCTTCTTCTTATTATTAATATTACCACCTTGGTACTATTATCTAGTGTCTTACATGCTTACAATCACTGTCCTCTATACAAGAACTCTGCTTATTGACATAGTCAGTACGATACAACAATGATCTAGAGAACAAAACAGAATATATGAGACATAAAAGAAGTCAAAGGAAATAGGAACTACCAAATGTAAAATAAAAAAAAATTAAATACATGGATTGTTATAGTAAAGATCTAAGTCCTAAATAAAGATACAATGTCTTTATGGGCTAATAGCATACTCAGAAATGTAGTAAACCACACATTTAAGTGAAAACAACTTACATGAGTAAAAACCATACAAATTGTTGGAGGCATTTTCCCAATATATGTAAACAAACTTTGCTGTCCAATTTCAAGAATACAATCATATTTCATGAAATTTGAGATCAAATTGGCAAAATAGATGCATACTTCTTGCCCCTATAAATTTTTGTAGAAAAAAATTAATCCCATGCATTTAGTGTCCAGTTCAAAGCAGATATGACACAACACCATGTTAAATCATGTTATTCCAGGGAACTCTTTTGAGAGTTGTAGAATCTGGAAGACAGGCTAAAAGAGTACCCAAAGGGACAGTAAAGAAAAATAGGACTGTGAGAGCTGGGAAATGGAAACACAACAGGAGGACAACGAACTACACCACCAAAAAATGGTGACGACAGACATGTCTTTATTTCAATGACTTTGTCTAGTTCTACTGGATTTTTTTAATCTTTTAATTTATATCAAAGGAACAAATTTCATGTATTTTATATATACAGTTTTAAGAGCATAATGATACTTTCCACGCTAATGACTGGAATTTAAGTGGAATAAAAGTCAGAAATCATCAGTGCAAAAGGATATTAGAAAATAAAACTAACAAACAAAAACAATGTGTCTCAAAGAATGAGACACTCTTCTCTGAAGGGAGAGGAGAACATCCTCTTTGCTTATGGCCGTGTCCAAACAACGACAGAGTCTATGGTCACAAAAGGCCTCCATAGCCCTGGCAGCCCACGACAAGTTGCTTGGATGACCACTGACCTCATAAAAAAAGTGTTAATTGTTAAAGGAACAACAGTAGTCACTGTGCACTTGCTCCCCAAGTAGGACCTCTGTCCCCATTGAACTGCAATATGAGAATCGACTGCAAATTCTTTCCCCAAACTGTATTCTATATGTTATATGTGGGTGTGGGGGCAAATTGTTGGAATCTATGATTAGCATAGAGATGGTCCTCTATATATAAAGTCATACTAAAAATGATCCATAATGAAGAAGGAGATGGGAGAGGGGATGGGAGGTGGGAAGGGAGTGGGGTGAGGGCATGGGGAAAAGAACCACTGTATTCCTAAAGTTGTATTTATGTAAAAATGCATTCATTAAATAAATAAATAAATAAAACCCTAAAAAAAAGTGTCTTACCCCTTACCAAATGTTCTTCGAATTTGGTACCTCAGTAGTGGAAAGGACATAAATTATATCAGGAATTTAAAAAATCATGTATGGGAAACCAAAGGCAATGATGAATATATATTCAGTCTCTTTCATATGCAGAGGAATCAATGAATTTCACAAAGAACAAAAAGGGGAACCACAATAAGCTAGCCATTTCAAATTTAATTTTTCTAAAATTAGTTTTTCTAGAAAATTCAATCCTTTATACTGGTTTTTTTTTTCCCCTTTTCATACAATCAAGCTGAACTGAGTAGGAGTCAGGAGTGTTAAAATCAATTTTTTCTTGCTTTCATCTAAATCTCAATATTTTAAACTCGGCATTTTTGTTCTTATCTTCTCTCAGGTATTGTATGTGTTCACTAATTTTCATTTTATGAAACATTTCTCTGCTGATTTCCAGTTCAATTTGGTATCTAAATATTGCCCTCACAATGTCTTATTCTGCTATTAATGATCATTATGATAGAATCAATACTATGCCTTGAGAGTCAGCAAGATGAAGGAGACAGAGCTATGCATGCGATTATGTTGACTGCTAGCAGTTGTAAATTGAATGTTTGACATCTCCTGTCATGAATCCAGGGGCAGAAAGTTCAAATCCAAAGATCATGCTAGGATATTTTCTAGGGTTTCAGTGACATTGATAGCTAGCCTTTTCAGCTAGCCCTGAAACACTTCAAGCTGAAAATAATAGTAGAAAAGCTGCTTTGTGAACATCTTCACAAAACTCTAAGACTTTTTATAAAGTGCCTTCCTGGCTTGCACTGCGGCTCACTAGGCTAATCCTCCATCTGTGGCGCCGGCACCCCAGGTTCTAGTCCCGGTCAGGGCACCAGATTCTAGTCCCGGTTGCCCCTCTCCCAGTTCAGCTCTCTGCTGTGGCCCAGCAGTGCAGTGGAGGATGGCTCAAATGCTTGGGCCCTGCACCCGCATGGGAGACCAGGAGGAAGTACTGGCTCCTGGCTTCGGATTGGCACAGTGCCGGCTGCAGCGCACCGGCCATGGCGGTCATTTGAGGGGTGAACCAACAGAAAAAGGAAGACCTTTCTCTGTCTCTCTCTCTCTCACTGTCTAACTCTGCCTGTCAAAATAAATAAATAAATGAATAAAAATAAAGTGCCTTCCCAAAGAAAATATGCCACCTTCACTATCACCAGACACAATCAACAAAAACTAAAGAGAGGACGGCAGTCTTATCAGAACCCACTGACATTTATTTTTCTTCTTATAGTACGATTTATTTTAGATTACATTATACTATCAAGTCAAACTGCAGAACTTTGAGGATTTGGACAAGTCATAAAAAAAGAGAAAGATAAGAGTATAGTTTCCAGCATAAGCAATAGCATCTTAATGAACTAAGTCATTGGTGGCAAGAAGGTCATTGAAGGAAGCTGGGACAAACAAATCTAAGACATTGTCTGGTCCCTAAAAGTAACATCTATGTTTTATCAACATAAGAGCCTTTTGAGATAAACAAACAGTGCACTATATAACTTTTATATTTATCATTATTGTCAAATATAAGAAAGTATTCTGCATATGCCCATAATTATATGTTACTGTACAGTCAGAAGGTAACTGACTCTTGGTTTCAAATTTATTATAGATTTAGAAAAATATTTATTATATTTAATAACTTTCTTGGCATTAAAAATTCTGCAGCTTTCTAATGACTTTTGTCATCTATACCAAAACAAATTATACTCATGCTTAGAATGAGCTGTATCAGTATGAGTCTATTTTAATTTATAAGCATTTATGTTTAATAGAATTGGACCAAAATCAGCTCCCAAACTCAGCGGTTCTCTTTATCATAAAGCTACAATGTTACCTATAACAAACATATTTCAAACCTAGAGACTTACTTGATTTAAAAAGTAACATTCTGATAAGCAACAGAGAAATTGTTTAATAATATGACCATAATCTATATTGACTTTCTTACTGTCAAAGAATTTTATCATTCTAATAATATTGTAATACTGCTTTTTCCAATAAGGGCTAATAACCTTTCACAATCTGAAACATGAGCTTGAATGTGAACTTGAATAACTGCTGCTTCCACTACTACTTGTTGCAGCAGAGACAAGCTATTTGAGAGCTGGCATCTAACATCTACAAGAATTGTGACTTTCAGCCATCAGTACATATCACAGGTTATTAACTCTTACAGTGTTTCTGAAAACAAAAGGACCCACCTCAGGCTCAGGGACAGCAGTTGCTCCTTTGACTTCAATAGCTCCCCGACTTTAAAACTGGCATAGCCCAAGAAGCTTCGCTGGAAATCAGAGAGAAAGAGGGTATTTTTAATACTTTTGCTGTCACAGCAACCTCACAAAATTAGTGTTCAGAAGAATAAAACATTGAATCAATTATTGCCTGGCAAATAATCCACTGACAGACACACTTATCAATCGTATTTTCACCTCGTGGGTGAAGCTGAGGAGTGAAAACCCATCATTTTTGTGTGAGTGAACAACAAAGAGAACAACAGCCTGGAAAGTAATAATATGGAAATTACGATAGCCAGGACTTTTCCACCTACTTTAATTTTTGGCCCATCCAAGAAACAGTGTAGAAGAAAAGACAGTAAACTTTCAATATTTACCAATGCTGCTGTTCTTATTAGACTTCCTCAATCACTGACAGCCACAACTTTGTATTCCAGATATGAGCAAATCTGTTACTTGGAGCTATTTTTATGTGGAACTTGGCCCAAGTTATAAATAGAAATGCCATATTTCTTCCCCATCAGAGCTTCACTTAAAACCATTTGTTTCCTTTGTTATTCCTTACTAGCGTAGGACAATTTCATTCCAATACATACCAAAAAAAATAGTATTTCTTCAATTGCATTTTTTAAAAATTGCTTTTCAACCCTATCATACTGGGTGCTGATTACTTCTGAATATTTTCTTTCTACTCTTTTTAATCCAATATAAAGAATAAAACCCTAAGTTGTATTTTTTCCTCCATGATAAAAGTCTTTGATATCTTTTTTAATATCCCTGGCTACTGCTTATTCAAAACTCACAACATTATGTTATAACATGTATAGGATTTCTCATCTTTTTCCTCAAGGTCAAGAGTAAACATGAAAATATCAAATCCATATTATTACCTATGCCACTGCAAACCTAACAGTGCAACGTTGTATAAGATGTAGATCTACTTTTTCCAGAACTTTCTCTCATCACAGTCTACTGCTGGGCTGCACTTGAATTACAGGGTGGACTTGAGAAGTCTGAAGCCAATTGTGTTTTCTTTTTTTTTAGAGGAAAATAGGAAGCTATGTCACAGCTAAAAGAGTGCATTTACACTGAACAACTGTTGAACACAGGTAGGCTTCAGGTCAGAAATGTTATGCCTCTTTCCAAAATTGTAAGAAGAGCTGATTCAAAAAAGCTTAAAGAAAAACATTTGAAAACACAAATCAATTCTGACATTGGAGATATCCATATCCTGTGACTGATAAGCCCAATAAATTAACTTGAATCTTAAGGTTCTAATTTTAGACACCAGGGGACCAAACCCTTAAAAATACGAGATTAAATTATTAGATGAGGAAAAACATTAGGTAAAAATAGAAGATTTGTGAAAGCAAGTTCCAACATTAGTTAGGGAGCTACATCAACATAATATGTGGAAAGGGTGACTTTTCTGCAAGGGACAGAGCGAGCCCTGCAGAGATCTAGCCACACAGAAGTCTCTGCTGTCTCACCAGAGATACCTTTCAGAACACGAGTAAGTGAAGCACCAACCCTCTCCACAAATACACCACTATTTTCGATTCCTTGCCTATTTTGCTTTTCTGCATTGGAACTTATCACCACTTGACATGTAACATATTTCATTGTATTTTTTGTCCCCCACAAAAATACTTGCAATTTGAAGCACCACAAGGAGTTTTATCATGTTTTCCAATAAACACCCACTACCTAGCACAAGTAGGCATGCACTATTTACTCTGAATGAATGAATGAATGAATGTCAGAAACACACTTTGAAGTTAGTCTATCACAAAGGGAAGAAATGCTCCTTGTTCGGAAATCTGTAAACTACTGTCTGCAAATTGGGGAAATTCAAAACAACATTACAGTGTGTACATTGTATAGTGTAGTCATGAATTTCACTCTAGTACTCTGTATGTCAAAGAGATGTCTATTCCACTTTCTCACTCCCTGATAATAAGGGTTTTAATTTAAATTATCATGACTAATTCATTATTTGCTCTCAAAAATCCTTAACTGGACAGAAATTGCAAGATGCATCAGAATGTCAAATTATTTTTGATTTGCCTTTTGTGACTTTGCAAATCTGAATAATTTTAGAATTAACAAAACAAACTACATGTGTCCCGATATTATTGTGGTATTCACAGCAATAAAATCAGCAAACATTCCAGGTTGGAATGTAGCACCAAGAGACAGGTGGAATGGCTATTTTTAGGCACAAGCTACAGATACATCATAAGGCACAGCTGCAACTAAAATTTATGACCATAAGTCTTGAATGTTTCTGCTATCCACCAAACCAGTTGCTGCTGTGGAAGCACTACCTTGGCTTGTCCAACTCCTAGTCAAGTCCATTGTCTATAGCAGAGGGGCTGTGTGGTACACCCACTACTGCATGTGAGGGCAAGCAATGTGCCAGGAACAATGCCCATCAGTCAAGCTCTTGCATCACAACTGTCAGACACATTCTTGATCTCAAGGGCTAAAGGGAGAGCTTGCAGAAATAATACAATCTGCTAAAAGTCAATTCTTATTATAGCATCACATACCCTATTATAAAAATCTGTTCAAACAGAGGAGCCATTATTGAGGCATGGACATTACTTATTCTGAAAACAACTGTATATTGGGATTATATGTTGACTAGAATGCATTAAAAAAAAAACAAAACAAAACTCTAAAACAATGCATAATTGCTTTATACTTCAACAACATCAAATATGAAAATTCCTATACATTTATTTTGTTGGTTTATTTGTTTATTTTGTTTGTTTGTTTGTTTCACCTGCATGCAAACAAAACTAGGATTCTCCCCATTCCCAAAGATTAGAAAACTAATCCACCTGTGAGACTATACACTGGACACAATGTAAGAGAACGAATTAGGAAACAGTCTTCTCTATTTCTGAAATGAAAAAATAGCACATACTACTAATGTAAAAGAATAATTTAACATAAAACTATTTTATCTTTGCTGTCATACTATCATAATCATACAATTTAAGAGAACCTCTCTGAAATTTGTTTTTGCCTTTCAAATATCGTTCTAGAGGCAATGTTTTCCATATCTCCTTTGGTGCTGTTTCTAACAAGAGAAAAATAGAGCCAGATTAAAAAAAAATGTAAAGTCTTGGCCGGCGCCGTTGCTCAATAGGCTAATCCTCTGCCTGTGGCACCGGCACACCGCGTTCTAGTCCCGATCGGGGCACCAGATTCTGTCCCGGTGGCTCCTCTTCCAGGCCAGCTCTCTGCTGTGGCAGGGAGTACAGTGGAGGATGGCCCAAGTGCTTGAGCCCTGCACCTGCATGGGAGACCAAGAGAAGCACCTGGCTCCTGGCTTCAGATCAGCACGGTGTGCCGGCCGCAGCGGCCATTAGGGGGTGAACCAACGGCAAAGGAACCTTTCTCTCTGTCTCTCTCACTGTCCACTCTGCCTATCAAAAAAAAAAAAAATGTAAAAGGGTTTGAATATCTGAAGCATGGTCCTAAAATTAGTTATTCCTTCCAAAACTGAAAATCTGGAGAATTAAATCCCTTCTCCTAGCTCCCAGTATCACTATCCACTGATAGACATATCAGGTCTTATTTTCCAGTCTTCTTTCTGAGGAAGTCTGGTCATATGCAAGTTATTACACTACAACAGGCCTTACTTTCTGCCTGAAAATGAAAAGTTACATACTCTCATTGTTATGAGAATTAAAGAAATCCTGGCAAATCACTTTAGTACAGCACCAGGAAAATAGGAAGGGTGCCATAAAGATTAGCTTGATAGTGATTAAGATAATATAACAGAAACCAGATGTCTTAAAAGAATATGACATCCACCTTAAATACAATAGAAAAGATTGAGAATTAACAAAAAAAATCCATGAGAAATGCCTAGAATACACAAAGAAAAATGTTTAAAAATGAAAATTAGATTCAGGTGAAATATGTGAGAAAAATTCTAGATAAAAGATGAAGAAAATAAAATACAACTGTCACGAGGTCCTTTACAGTGATTTTTGAGACGTCTGCCTATGATTCTTTGTGACTCAAATATCTATTGCGTTACAGTAAATGTTTAAAAGATATCAAGCTTGCTAAGTTATCATCAGTGGATAGATGGAGCTGGGGCCCATAAGAGTTAACTGGCTTATGCTTAACCATGGAGCTAGCTAATAGTATGCAGAGACCAGTTTAGAACCCCAGTTTCTTGCTTCTCTGTCACTCCCTATCATGCTGTGTCTCATTTCCAAGACAGGTGGCAATTCCCTTTCCCTCTAACAGGTTCTCTGCCTGCACAACATGTGGCTCTGACCTTTCTCGCCTGCTCATGACAGTGCAACACTCACAATTCTCATTCTGGTGCACAGACCCCAAAGCAGATGATCATTAAATTGCTTGATGCACGATTTCAATCACTCACATGGCTGGAGAGTAATATCAAAAAGGGTGGGGGAGAGTGGAGGAATCTGTCAGAATCCCTGGCCTCTCTCAGTGGGGAGTACACAAATCAGTAGCTTATCCAGCCAGCCTCTGCAGGGACTCTGAGCAAGTCCAGATATTCAGACTGCTTACCAGGGTTTGACAGCTCCATGGCCATCCCTATGGGAGCTGGAGGAAGTGCACTCCCATACACATCACCATAAGTTAGCCAAACCTCCATTATCCACATTTATTTCACAAAGCCTTTACTCAAAAGATAGGTTTCTTTTATACTATACTTTACAAGTCTCCTTAAATTCCTCTAGCTACTTTCCAAAGTCATTACCTTGAGCATGTAAAATGTGGCTATTTAAGTATAAAATATACACTGGATTTAGATGACTTAGTAAGAAAAAAGGAATGTGAAATATATAATTTTGATTATATTTTGAAATAATATTTTGCATATACTGAGTTATATAAAATACTTTAAAATTAATTCAGACTGTTTAATTTTTTAAAAAACACAGCTATCAGAAAATTTAAAATTATATATGTAATACATACTGTAAGTCACCCATGATATTTCTATTGGACACTACTTGATTTAGAGGTTAAATGAATATGTCAATGATAA